CACACACACACACACAGATATGCTCAAGTCCTCTCTGCCTCCTAAGATACTTACTCAGCACTGTCAGCTTGGCCCTCCTGGACCGCAGCGCGGCTTCTGTGGCCTGACACTCATACTGGGAGTCATCCGATAGCTCGGCCCCGGTGATCTCCAGGTTATACTGTCCAGAGTCGGGACTTCGCACCACCCGATACCTCGGCCAGGCTGGAAGCAGCATACAGAGAGCAGACAGCAGGTCAGTACAAAGGCAATCACAACTGAGGAATGATATCTTGTCAAAACTGTGGAGCCCCAGCATAAGGGTGTGGTGTAACGAGAGTTAACCAGTTGGCACCATCTTCACTCTGATGAACGGTCAGAGAGAGGAAGTGAACTTCAAAAGATATATCAGAAATTTGAGAGTGGACAACTTGTTCTATCCAGCTGGGTCCAGCTGACCCAGATGTCCTGATCTGACACACGTAGCTGGACCCAGTGTTCTGATCCAAAACACACTCAGCTGGACCCAGTGTCCTGATCCAAAGCACACTCAGCTGGACCCTGCTGTTCTGATCCAAAACACACTCAGCTGGACCCTGCTGTCCCGATCCAGAACACACTCAGCTGGACCCAGCTGTCCCGATCCAAAACACACTCAGCTGGACTCAGTGTCCTGATCCAAAACACACTCAGCTAGACCCAGCTATCCTGATCCAAAATACACTCGGCTGGACCCTGCTGTTCTGATCCAAAACACACTCAGCTAGACCCAGCTGTCCCAATCCAAAACACCCTCAGCTGGACCCTGCTGTCCCGCTCCAAAACACACTCAGCTGGACCCTGCTGTTCTGATCCAAAACACATTCAGCTGGACCAGAATCAGGACCAGTGTCCCGATCCAAAACACACTGAGTTGGATGTTCCTACTTGCTGTTGCTGACCTTCTTCCTGCTGTAACCTTTCCAGTGACAGAATTAATTAACGTTCCCATTACTTCTAAAGGGCATGCAGTTTTCTTTCTCCCAACCTTCCTAAAGTTCACGTAACACACAAAACAAACCACACAAGTTTGGGGCAGTTTCACCTTTGGGTTAAGCTCGACTTTATACCAGACCTGTATTTTGAAACAGATCCTCAGGCAGCACATAAGGGTATTTGTCTTCACTTCCAGTCAATGCCTGGAGGGCACTGCTCCGGAAAATCTGCCAGAAACTGCAGGGAATGCACAATGTACAATAGCCTGTAGCCTGCTCGCGTGATAACAGTCCTGGAATTGTACCCATCCTCGATTACAGTCAAGAAAACGTATCATAACACGTGCTACTCTTCATATGTATACAATATTGCAAAGAGCTTTAGGAATAAATATCAATGCTTTCAAAATGAGAAACATACAGTAGGCAGTGTTTGGCAGCGAGACAGGCACCACAGTTGTGCACAGTCTGCACAGACGCAGATGTCAAATAAACAAATAAACACACTGTGAGGACCGTGTCCCATAAAGGGACCGCGCGTTCAAGTGCTGGGAGGCAGGTGGCAGGATGTGGTATAATCTGGCGGCACAGTTAGTGCTGAAATGGGTCAGCAGGGCCCGGGGAGGAAAGAGGAGGGCTGACAGTTCACCAACTCGTCACGGGCGCGTCAGGAAAAGAAGTCAAAGGGGAGGCAGACGGCCAGAACATCTCTTTCCGCCAGACACACGGGAGACGATCTCAGGCCCAGCCTCCCCACTGAGGGACGAATGCTTACTGGGACGGCGCCGACAAGCACAGAGCCCGATTTCACCGTGGCAGTCCCGGAATTATTTCCAGCGGAACGATTACAGCTGGCTGCGAATTCCAAACGCTCTCGGGGCCGCGGAGTTGGGGATCGGGTGGGAGGCAACGGAGGAGAGAAGCCGAAGGGAGAGGGGAGTTTGGAAGAGCAGGTGGGAGAGGGAGGAGGAGAGAACTCTTCAGCTGGCCAACACGAACCTCCCTACCAGTCAGATTCTATTCCCAGCTTGACCCGAACGGCGGCAGATGACCTGACGATGACAGAAACGAGGACGGGAGGTTGTAAGTTCCCACGCTAGAAGAATGGCCGTGACTCACGCAAAGAAGACTGTGGTCAAAACTGCACAGCCGCTGGTGTGAAAAATGCCTGAAGACATTATGTAGAAAGAGAAAAACACTGCAGTTCTTCTCCTCACACATCAATGGCCACCAGGCTTGGCTATATAGATGGGATAGCAGCGTAACCAGATTTTCCTTCACTTGGATCCTAATCCACTCGGATGCTGGGTTTGGGATCCAGGTTGCTTCCTGTAATTCAACATCTGAAAACTCTTTAATCATCTTCACATTCCTCATTCCTCCTTCTTTGCATTCGGGATGCAATTGATAGCAACTGGCAAGCAAAGTTGGAACCTCCTCCCCTCCCCTGTCCTCCCCCACATTGCTTAATTGGGGCAATACAGTACCTGCAGACACAATGGACCGTTCTGTGCCGATCAATGAGATGCAATGGCTGTTGACCCCACGTAGCTTTACATTAACGTGGGCCCATGCTATAGCCACAATCACACAACGATATCGAAACAACACTAATTCTGTTGAAGACAGATGTGCTTGTGATATTTAAGTAGAAAACTCAAACTTATAAGGGAAGGGAAATTCAGTCAGTACTATAGCATTTAACTACAGGATAAGTAACAAATCTGTAACAAATTAAATGTTTTGTTTAATTCGTTACTGATATATATTTCTTTTGGCTGACACTTTTAGCCAAAGAGGCTTAGACAAATCTGCACCCATTTACAAAACTGTGTATCGTTGGGGAACAATTCTTGTTAAGAAGCTTGCTAAAGTCTAGAACCTTAACATCTGCTCCACAATTTGAATGAGAACGACATTTTTTTCAGAGTCATGGCTGAGAATCGTCAGGTAACAAACATTACTTTACTTAAATGTGCAGCTCTAAAAACAGCATCTCTCGTGAACCGTCTTGGCCAGTCGTTCACAATGTGACCACCAGGGGGCGGCAGGGAATCTGTCAACTCCCCAGAGGAACAATGTGACTCGAACAGATTTTTCAAGCCTCCGAGGAAGACAATAGTATTCGTACAGATTACGTCACCTCAGCTGCTTAATCTATTGTGCGCCGTATTTTAAAGAGAAATAACAAAAAAACTATTTTTAAATGCTGCTCTGCCACTGCCGGAGGAAAACAAATTTCTCTTAAGCCATTACCATAACATATCATGATATTTCGCAGCACATATTACCATGGTGATCTCAAAAGGCAGAGAGATGCTATTGTACGCTAAAGTCCGCAGTGCACAGCCCTCTCAGGCAGACAGGAGCACAGAGACAAAGAGGCGAGCACAAATACCAAAACTACGACAGAAGTATGAACAGCAACAGATGCTCTCAGAGACAATAGTGCTTAAAAAGAAACGTGAAGCCAGGCACGCACAGTGACTCCTGCACAGAGTATATTTGTGCTTGGGAACCTGTAATATCTCGCATGATATTCCTGCTTTGTTGTGGATGTCACTGCACTATGCTTATGTGGACACTGGACAATATTTTAGGCTGCTTTGATCACAGGAGCACAGCATTGTGCATTGTGTGTTAGTCCTGCACCTGTGAGCTTTGAATGAATGTGTACATATGTATCCAGTGCAACTGGACATACAGTAACTATAACATACTGCCAAGATCCCCCCTGGTTTCTCCTTGTATAGGCGGCGGTGTATTGAGAGAGGCAGGAGACTGGATCTGCGGCTCACTAGTTTTTATGCCCTTGTCAGGTGCAGGGCCATGCTATAGTCACTCGAGAGGGGAGAGAGAGGGTCACAGCTGCAACTGCGCAGCTTTTGGGGTAAGGGAGCGAGGCGGGGGGAGAGAGAGGGGGGTCCCCTCTTTATAGAGAAGGGAAGCCAACCTGCACCTGTGGCAGGACGCTGATTTATATATACAGTATAACGTGTACGTTAACCAGGGATTGGACTGGATCCACTGAATTGGTTTTCTTGAAAGTGTCTCAGATATGTAACCACCAGCAGCCCTATCACTCTGCAGCTCCCAGATGGCAGCCCCACTGGAGCTCAGCGGGTGTGAGCCTGGCCAGTACCTGGATTAGAGACCTCCTGGGAAAAATTAAGGTTGCTGCTGGAAGAGGTGTTAGTGGCGCCAGTAAGGGGCGCTCACCCTGCGGTCTATTTTCATGCAATATACATTCGCGGGCGTGAATATAGAATACACAATATATGTATTGACTATTTTATGAAACTAGCGCAATTCCAATAGCTGTGGAAATTCTTTCCAAAGACCGGATCCTTGTTGAGTGGATTGATGTTGAAGCCCAGCCCCACTGAAGAAAACCGCCCCTCTTCCCGTAGGAGCAGAGCTTTGTGGGAAGAGGGAAGAGATGCCCAGACAGACTCACCTCTCAGGTCATCTCCGATGCCCAGCGCCAGCCCATCCTTGGTCCACTGCACGATTCCCGAGTAGTTGAAGACCACGCAGGAGAGCAGGACATTCTGCCCCGCCACCACTGTCTGGTCGGCGGGCTCCTGGGAGAACCGGGCTCCTGAAACTGAAGACAGGGGGAGAGGGATGAGCCGCGATGCAGTTAGGCGGGACGTTCCCCGAGTGGACCGCAAACTAGGAGAGAGGCGGTGGAATGAGAAGGAGAGGGCCTACCGACACATGAACAGATACAAAACCAAGAGGAGGGTGCCTTCACGTTCCTCGATTACTGATCTAACATCCTCAGGCAACGGCTGATGAGTCCATCCCAGTAGTTAAAAAACAGGGGTGTTCCCCCACACACACCTGCAGATTGTCACGCCCTCTACAGCTAGAGGGCGCTCCTACTCTGTCCTGTCCCTAGTTTCCCTGTGCTTTGCTTGTCCTTCTGGTGTGTCTCGGTCTGGGGCTATATATTTCTGGGTCACGCTTTCCTCCTTACTCAGCATTGAGGTTCAGATGTCCTGAGACCCGCCTAGCACCAGGTCGCCCCACGTCCGCTGCCTAAGGGCATAGGTTTCTATACGACTCCTGAACTGCTGAGCCCGGGCTAACCCCCCGTCTCGCCGCTACGCATAGGGCCTGTTTCTCCACGGTTTGTCCCTTCCGACATCCGTGACACTGGTAATGGGCAGCCCCCTACACGCCTGCTGCTGTTCATTGCAGCTGAGCTCTTGGCGTAAATGAACCCCAAACTGATCATGATCAA